GGGTTTAAGTGGAGAGAAAATGTTTTGAGAATGATGAGGGCAATGAATGTACAAATGCGCTTTACACAACTGATGTGTGTATGGATTGTGATAAGAGTTGTATGAGCCCCTAATAAAATGATTAAAAAAAAAAGACTTCTTTCTAATGAATGAGCTATTTCAACTTGATGATTAAATAGAGATTTAATAGGAAGATGGAGTCAGAAGTTGACTGTAAGTTTAAGTAGTCTGATTTTTAATTATTACTGATATTTCAATAGAACTCAGATACATTTGCTTCATGCTTCCTATGCACTGAGCTGCAATTACAAATACACTCCCCACTCCACCCTCCAAAATAAAAAAAAAAACTCACTGTCATTGAGTAGACTATGACTAAGAGCCACCATATGGTATCACATAATTAATTGCTCAAGTCTTAGGAAAATGGAAAGCCTTCATTTTTGCTATTTTGGAACTCTGTGTTTATGTGAAACTGTGTACTGGTAAGTGCCATCAGAGAGGACACAACAACAAGATGCTACTGTTATGGTATCTTGGATATGACTCACAGGAAATAAGACAAGGTTACTGTTATCTTTACCCTCTCATTCTAAATTCTTATGCTATTCCTCCATTTTAAAAAAATTACGTTGATTTTCCTCTTTTTTGCTTGCATTCCAAAATTTATGACAGTCCTCTAAAAAGTAGAAGGTGAAAGACCACCCCTATGCCTTTCCTTTGATAAGCTTAAGTATTGGAATGCAAATCAAAAGGACAGCTATTCAAACCCACCAGTTGCTCCATGGGAAGAAAAAGAGGCAGTCTGTCCTCCGGGAAGATGTACAGCATCTGAAACCTCATGGAGCAATTCTTCTTGTCCCTTCTGTAGGCCCCTCACCCCATTTCTTCAAGAGTTGGGATCAACTTAATGGCTGTGGGGTTGATAGTCTACACAATTTGAACTATGATCATATGACCTATTTACATTAATTAATCAACTACTTGGCCAAATAAACACATATTATTCATGACTGAAAAAAGGGGGAAAAAATAACAACCAAAACCCAGAAACGTGCCATGCTATCAAATGTTTAACTGGGTAATAATAACAATAAGAAAGTATTCTGCAAACTTTTGAACCGATCTTGAAGTTCTTACCTACAAGCAACATTTGGGTCAGCATTTCGGGAAAGTAGTAGCTCTACACACTTTATGATCTGTTCCTGTGAGCCACGAGCAGAACACGCAGTCATCAAAACAGTTTGCTTATCTATTGTAAAGAGAATGGTGAAGAAAAACCCCACACGCATCAGAGAGTGTAGCTATTTGGCTTCTGATACATTCTAAATCTTCATTGCACTTCTAAATTCTACAACCTATTTCCAAAGCTCTCACTCTTCGCAGATAATTGCATACTTTCCTCTTAGTAATTTCCAAAAGAAGTTGAGATCAAGAATGGATACTTCAGCTTTCTTCTCCTTAATCTCCACTGTACCACATATGAAGTAAAAATTAGGTACAAATCAAGCTCATTTCAACTAAGTTTATGTCCCAATTCCAGGATATAACCAGACCCAACGGTTACACACATCAGATATGACAGAATAAAAGTTCTTTTGAATGGATTGTTTAAAATACATAATTCCATTCATAAATTTGTATTCAAGGCTCATCTTACCACTTACGGAGGCCCCTCAACCCATTTCTTCAAGAGAACAGGAGAGTGGCAGAGCAAGGATTGGTAGAGTATACTGCCAAGATCAGAGGTGTTTACTGCCAGTGTTTGGCTGATTAAATTTTAGCTCACTAAACTCATGCTTAGAAAACAATGCTCTATAGTCCCTAGTTTCCCGTCTTTACTTCCCACTTATTCCACAATGCACTGCAATCTGGTCATGTCTAACTGACTGCACTAGAACAGACCTCTGACAGCCAAATCGGCTGGTTTCTTTACAATCCATTTCATACTTGATCTCTCTGAATGGTATATGCCCTGTTCCCTAAAACCATTCTCTTGGCTTCTATCAGCTCATGGTAGCTTCAAAAAACAAAAACTTCTTAAATAGGAATTGGGAAATTCACCATGGCTCCGAACACAGCTCAACAGAAATGGAACAAAAAGGATGAGATACTACAAATCCTGCACCTAATAGAATGTGACTCCAGTGATGTCTATATATCTATTAGGCCTAATTACAGACACAAAGCGAAGACCTGCTCTCCTTACATAATGAGGCTATTATCATGCACATAAAATATTTGATGTGAATGTGCTGTAGAAAAATATTTCATAATTATAACTGATTAGGATGATTAGTAAAATTCATAAATACAATACTTTGAACATAGTATCTTCTGTTTTCAATAATTTAATTCTTAGATATGCAGAATGACACAAGAGCATAGCAGATTTCACATGAATCTGTCAATAAGACAGAAATTTGTTAGTAGATAAATGAGAATGACAAAAGAGAAATGGTTTTACAAAAATATAAGTACATATAAGGTAAAATTAACATGGAAAGCAATAAAAAATAAAACCTACACTTGAAATATAAAATAAATTGCATGTTAGACATGTGAAAAATAGTCAATAGCTCAAAAGGACTTACACATATTCTCTTATTCTTCCAAAGCATTATTAAGAAGGGATTTTTAATAACAAAGACAAAAACATATGGGCTCAACAACTATCTTTGAAACAAGTTTATATTCCAAAAACTGATTCACAAGTAATTTTCCGCAAATGTAGCATTTTTGATGTTTTCTTTTAATGCATTTTTCCTTTAAAATAATCAAAATTCTCTAGCATAGCAACCACTGTTAGTTGTCGCCAGAGTGCAGACGACTCCTGGCAACCCCAGGTGTGCAGAGCTGAACGGCTCACAGGCTTGGCCAGCTTGTGACCTTTCGGAAGCAGATCGTCAGCCCTGTCTTCTGGGTGTATTCAAACTGTCAACCTTTTGGACAGTAATGTTAAAGGCACATAATAACATAAGTAGAATACAGCTGGAGTACAGCCTTATTCCTTTAGAAGGAAAAAGTATTCTATCTATGGCTTCTAGTTTGACTTAGTGTGTTATTTACAAAATGAAACAAAACAAAAACCAAGCAACTAATAGGAAAGATTTCTTAAACTGCTTTAATTTTTTTCACTTTACATAAATAGCTGCTTGGAAACCAAGGAAATAATGCCATGCTAAGCATACTCAGTTAAATTGCCACAAATATCTTACCCTTTTCAAAGCTTGCATTAGCACCTCTGTTCAAAAGGACCCGGACCAGGTTGACGTTGGCAATGCTTGCAGCAAACATAAGGGGTGTCCACCCATACCGAAAGCTGGAGTCCACACTGATGCCTGACGACATAAAGACAAGCTTTTACCCTCCGCACCCCCCTGCCCCCACCAAATGCTTAAAGTACTGTGCAGAGCAATGATTACGCACTGAATTATGTCCCTCCACCAAGATATGCTGAAGCCCTAAACCTGTGAACTAGGCTTGCTTGGCAAAATAGGGTGTTTTGGATTTTCTTTTACCAGCTAAAATAAAGGTGGTCCTAAGCGTTTAGTACAGGTCTTAATCCTAATCCCTTCAAAAACCAGAAAATTAACTCATTACCACTGAGTCTATTCCAACTCATGGCAACCCCATATGCTGCAGTGCAGAACTGCCCCAAAGGGTTTTCTTAACTGTAACTGAACCAAAGCAGGTCGCCAGGCCTTTCTTCTGCAGTTGCATCACTGGACAGGTACAAATCGATGACCTTTAGGTTAACTGACCTGTCTTGTCGAATGGATTCTGCCTCAGAGGGTTAGAACTATTCCATAGGGCTTGCGAGGCTTTCATCTTTACAGAAGCAGACACTCCTGCAGAATGCCTAGTGAGCTGGAGCAATCTTTGTGGTTACTATTCACGTGCTTCCTCATTTAGCCCCCCAGGGACCAATATCTTCTTGATGGTGCCACGTGACCGTGGAGAGAGGGATACCAGGGAGCTTCAAAAACTGTTGTAAAATTCCATTACCTCCTAATTCCATTTTTCCTCAAACTTTTGAAAGTCCCCTCTTACGCATAATGCCAAGGATTGCCAGCAGCCACCACAAACTAGGAGAGTGGCCTGCAGCACAGTGAGACAATAAAGTTCTATTATTTAAATGAAGCCACCCCTTTGGTGATACTTTATTACGGCAGTCCCAGCAAATTAAGATAACCATATCAGATGTACTAATCCTAGAGAGGAATGTCCCAAAAGACCTAACCTAACCACTGGCCTATCACATCAAAGGTACCAGTATCTGTATTATAACGTCTTTAAATGCTACCCTTTGTATCTTTGGAAATTTGGGTTAGGTTTCAGAGATAAAATATCTTTTTAATTAGGATATTAACCTTGGCAATATCATATATGTCTATGGCTACAAACATCATATTTGAGAAAATAAAACCAACCAAACCCACTGACATGGAGTTCGTTCTGACTCTATAGTGGGTGTCCAAGGTTGTAAAACTTTACGTGAGCTGACAGTCTCTTCTCTCTCCAGAAGAGATGGAAGGTTGGAACTACAAACCTTGCAGTTGGCAGCTCAACACCTAACCAGGGCTTCTTATACGTGAGGAGCCAAGTTAAAACAAGAAACCCACTGCCATCAGGTTGATTGGCGGTCCACTACCTAGCACCCAGTGAGGGAAGATTACCTTAATTACCCTTCTTATACAAAACTGACTCATGGAGTTCTGGCACAACAGGAAGCTAAACAGATAGGTTAGAGTGAGATTAGGAAAACTGTTAAGAAATGAAGACTGTGTGATAAAGTGCGGTGCTATTACGTTACAGGATGGCTTTTAAGAGTTCATGGGAAAATGAAATCAAAAGATAATAGAATGTTTCCATGAACTTTTTCATGGCCTCTCATGTTACAAAGGTATCAATGCTGAGAACAGGGCAGAAGGTAGAGACCACTTCAAGTGGGAACACAGGTAAGATATATTTATTCTTACCCATTTTTTAATGGTTTCTTAAAAGTGAGTTCTAAGATTTTTTAAAATTACAAATGAAATTTAAAAAGCTGTCTATATACCTACTTTGCAGTGAGTTCTCGTCAAGAGATTGAAAAACCCCATGTTTGCTAATCATTGAGTACTATAACCTACATTGTACCTCATATTTCCATTAGTCCCAACATAACTCTCTTTATCGTCACAATACATTATCTAGCTATTCCACCCCATCCAACATAATGAACATTCTTGCACATGCTCAGAGTAGGTATTTGGGACGCTCCACATTTTACTCTTCAATTACAAGCTCACATTCTGTTGTTCACCAAGTCATATAGATGCTTCTCACGTGTTAAAACAGCAACCGGTAACAAGGAATCAGCTCTTAAAGACCATGGACTACCACATAAAGAGAAACCCAGGTGCCTCGCAGATCAGGGTGATGGAGGGTGTTGAGGAGGCAAACTGCACTCCATTTGTTTTTTAAAGTTGTGGATTTTCTGGGGCAGATTTCTAGACCTTTCTTACAAGGTACCTCCGGGTGGGGTGACTCTATCAGTCAAGCACTTAATCGCCACTCGGGCAATATCTTAGCCAAGTAAATGCTGTAAAAACGAGTACGCATTATGAAACTGAGGTCCCATTCGTCAGAATAAAGCTTTTGAAGGAGGAAGAACTGAAGGAAGGTCCTCAGGTAGCATTCTTAATTTGAGAGTAAAGGAAGACAGTGAAGCAGACAAGAATTCAGAGCCAAGAATACATGAGCTAGATGGGGCTTCTAAGGGTTCCTGGTGGCTCAGCGGGCTAAGCATTGACATGCTAACAACAAGGACGACAATTTAGCCTGTCTACTGCTTTCTTAGCAGGGTCAAGATGAGGCTGCCTGCTTCCTTTCTCGGACACCCTGTGGGGCAGTTCTACGGGGTGACTGTGACTCGGAATCGCTTCTCTGGCACTGGGCTTGGTCTGAGGCCACCCGGTATATGCTTCCCTGAAAAAAGCAACAGGGACCTATGAAAATAACCCCTGTGGACTTAGAAAACAACGTTCAGTTGCACTAACTTATGTGCCTCCCGTCTCTCTCACCAGCGTTTAGGAGCTCTTCAACCAACGAAGTATCTCCTGTGGTCAATGCTTTCTTAAACATTTCATTCTTTTCTTCAGCAGGTAACGGCGCTGTAAATTTCTAAAGAAGCAGAAAGTTAAAAAAGGCATCTTTGTTACAGATGTGCACTGCCCTTGGGAAACGAGCGTTTGGTTGGGGACACGATCTTTTGCAACCAGATGACGTTTTGTAAATGAGTTCACGCTTCAAGTGGTCTTTGGGCTCAAACCCCATTCCAGGAGAGACTCCCCCCCACCCCGCCCCCACCTTCTCCATGCAGGGGAGGCCTGGAAAGGCCAGCTCCGCGTCGGCCCTCGACCAACACAACAAAGGGGCAGAGCGCAGAGGTGGAGTGGGTCCTACCTGAGGTGCCCGGTCGAGATACCCAATTTCCCAGCCATCATCCTCACTCTCGCTACTCTCCCCTCCGCCGGCCACCGCCGGGCCCCACAGGCTGCTCGCCGCCATAACTCCAGGCTGCTCTGGACCACGCAGCGTCGCCACGCTGCACGACGCTAGCTCCTCGCGCCTGCGCAAAGGACCACGTTAGGACTCCGAGGAAGGCGCGAAGTGCAAGCTGGGCCCTTGGTTCCTTCTGCGCGTGCGCACAACCTAATCCGGTTCACACTGCGCCCGGGACTCAACCCGTGGGCGTCTGGGTGGGAACTGGGGGCGTGGCTGGAAGGACGGGTAGTTCCTACAGCTTTCCACTTTGAGGCCAGCTTTTCCAAATCCTTAAGGGATTTGTACTTTTCGGAGTATTTGCTCGATGAAGGTTTTGCTCTACAATGATTGTAGAGCAGAATAGAGTTGTAGCTGGAACAGAATCGAATTTGTTGTCTGTATGACTGACTCCTATCTTGTCCTTCCTTAAGTCCCTAAACATATTTCACCTTTTAGGAGGACTGCTTTTGGCCAGAATACAACCCCAAAGAGCACCACTGTTTCATTCAAAAAAATCTTTAGATCAAAGAAGCAACAAAAGTGCCAGGAAATTAGTGCAGAATATGAGCGCAGAGAAAACAACCGCCCTTGCTTTGTCTCGTGCTCTCGGTTCCTAGTTTAGATTTAGAAACACCTGGCCATTCAAAAGCACGGTCCTTCTATCTAGTGTGGTTGTAAGGGAGAGAAAAAGGGAATGAAAGGGTGAAAATGAGTCATAAGTGTACACCAATGTTCATGGAAACATTATTCATAACAGCCGAAAAGTGGAAACGATTCAGACGTGTAACAACTGATGAGCAGATAAACATAATGTGGTGTATCCATATACAGGTGACCCTTCAACAACTGTTCTTTGAACAGGACGGGCCCACTTATGTGTGATTTTTATGTATTTATATTTTTCCTTTTGCTATTGTGATGAGCCCAAGATGTGCATCACCACTTAAAACCACAGGTGAAGCTAATCAACTCTACACTGGAGCGACAACTGCTCATGCAGGGATGATTAGCATCGCACTCAGAAAACTCATTGCCATCAAGTCAATGCTAACTCATAACAACCCTATAAAACAGGGTCAGACTGAGTTTCTGAGACTATAACTGTTCAAGGGATTAGAAAGTCTGGGCTTTCTCCCAAGGAGAGGCTGGTGGTTTCCAATTTCCAACCTTTAGGATCACAAGCCACCACGTAACCACTATGCCAAAGAGGGCACCACACGACATTGGGTGATTTCTGTGAATTGGGTGAAGAGTCACAGAGCACATTAGCTTTCCATTCAAGAAGTCATACATATGGTGGTTTATCTAAGTTATTGCAACCTGCACAATGTAACATCACTTACCCCACTTCCTCCCTAGGCTCCCTGTCTCATGCCTTCTTTTTTCCTAACTCTGTCCTTGGGTAAGTGTTGCCCTTTTGATTGCAAATCATTTATTATCTAAGGTATGCATACGTCCTTAGTGTTATGTTCCCCCTAGAGACCTGTCTGTTGTCTGGCTGAAGATTGAGCACCTCTGATGAGTTCATTTCCAGACCTGGAGGGTGACTAGGGGCCACAGTTTCAGTCCCATCAGCCTCTATAACACCAATATGCATGGTCTTCTTTATGATTTTGAGTGTTGTTCCTCATTTTTCACCCACTCTAACCAGGACTTCCTAATGTGGTCCCTTGCAGAGCAGGTGGTAGGGGTAGCTGGGCATATCTTGTACTTCAGGTATCATGGAAGCTGATGTTCTCCAGATCTAGTACAGATTGTTTCCACTTGTCTTAGATTTTCATCACTCTCCTTTCCTCGGACAGGGAGAGACCAATAGTTGTACTTTAGATAGCTTGTTGTTGTAAGGTGCCGTCAAGTCTGTTCCACCTCTTAGTGGCCCCACGTTCAACAGGGAAGAACACCGCGTGGTCCTGTGCCATCTTCACAATCTTTTTTTTTTTTCAGTTTCAATACTCTTTCTTCTTGAACTCATTGCTATCAGCTCCCCTTTATCTCCTCCCACTCCTGCCCTACCCAAGCCAAACTCAGTTCTGACTCATAGCAACTCTATGGGACAGGGTAGAAGTGCTCCTACGGGTTTTTGATGCGGTTAGCAACCCAACTCGTAATCCACTATGCCAACCAGGCTCCTCTCACATCATGTTTGAGCCACTGTTGCAGCCCCTGTGTCAATTCCATCTCATCAAGGGTCTACTTCAACGCTTTTTAGAGCTCAATTGCTACTCACCAAATTAGGATGTAGAATACAGTCACCGTACACCTTGTTATGCCGACTGGTCCTACGGCCCAGCTATTCATTCCCTAAAGGTGTTTGCCTATGACTAAGAAAGTTTTGTTACTTTGCTCCTTGAATGCTCCATCACATTCATGGATATATTTGAAGGTAAATGCACAAGTGCAGATATCCTCTGTCAAACACACACACACACACACACACACACACATCCATGGATACACTCCCATTCTCCTTCCCATACCCATTTAGCCTAAGTGCTATCCATGCTTCTAGGTGTAGATCATCATTACAGCACTGTGCTTATTTAATGCTATTTACCTCTGTTTCTTTTCATTCTTGAATTCCTCCCTACTTCCCTCATTTTTTTCGTCTCATTATTTTCTAAATCTAAACTAGGAACCGAGAACACGAGACAAAGCAAGGCCGGTTGTTTTCTCTGCGCGCATGTTCTGCACTCATATTGTCTTCCCTTCATCCAAGTTAACACATGTCTACCCTCTAGCCAGTAACTTTCCCTTCTTTCCCCTCTCACTTCTGGTAACCATCAAGAAATCTTTCTTTTAGTGTACAAATCTTTTCTTGACCTTTAACAAAAGTAATCTCATACAACATTTGTCCTTTTCAGAGTGGACTTATTTCACGCAGCATAGTGTCCTCCGGGTTCATTTATGTAATGAGGTGTTTCTCAGATACATTGGTATTACTATTCCATTGTGTGTATGTAGCATAATTTGTTTATCCACTCTTCCATTGGAAAGCATTTAGATTGTTACCACCTTTTTGATATTGTGAATAGTGCTGTGTAGCCTGGGTGTGCATCACACCCAAGGTCACCACAATACAATAGGAAGTTCATGTTGTTCAGGGGTCAACTGTAAACTATACTGAGATTTTCAACTACTATGGAGATTGGAGCCCTAGTGGTATAATGGTTATGCGTTGGACTGCTAACCCCCAGGCCAGCAGTTTGAAATCACCAGCCACTCTTTGGGCAGAAAGGGGAGGCTGTCTGCTTCCATAAGAAGTTACAGGGTCAGAAACCCAAAGGTGCAGTTCTATCCTGTCATACAGGGTCTCAACTAGTCAGAATTGAATCGATGGCAGTGAGCTGGAGATCATAGCCCTGAATCCTCACATTGTACAAGGGTCAATTGTATATCACTAAACATGTTTTCAATGTGGCAAGTGTCAGTCCTTTATTGCTTGGTGTCTTAGTAATGTGCAGTATTGATTTTAGGTGGTGATTTTAGGAAGTGGCAGGGGCTCTTATAAAGTCACTTTAATTGTGAATCAGGGAAGTTGTAGAGAAAAGGTAGAGGATTGTAGGCATTTAGACTTTATTACGAGTTCGAATTAAATGGATTTGGTGATTACTATGCATGATGACAGGGAGAGATGAGTCAAGGTTGATGTGACAAGGACAACATTAGGTTGAGGAAGAGGGCTTAAGGAAAAGGAGATCAACTCTGCTCTGCAAATAGAGACTGAAATGACTGAGGAATGCCCAGGTCAACAGACGGGGCGGAACTTCCTGGAGAGGCTTGGGTTATTGGTGAAACTTTAGAAATTAGCTTTCTGAGAGATAATGATAACCAGGTAAAAGTGGTGGTATTGCTAAGGGGAATGGATAGGATGAGATAAGAACACTAAGAACATCCCTAAGGAACAGCTATTCATTGAGGAAGCCAGCCACCTGCAAAAGGGACGAGAGAGGAGCCTGATAAACAGTGATGAAAGAAGCAGGAGAAAACCAAGTCAGATCAATGCCTCTGGCAAAACAGAAGTCATATTAAGACAATAGTAGGAATGGATGGTTGTTTATTGAATGTGTGATTTGCATATTGAGGTAACATTTGTTATGTCCTGTTGAATTGATTCTGACTACTCAGAGAGGCTGTATGACAGAGTAGAAGTGTCCCTCAGGGCTTCTTAGGCTGTGTTTTTTAACTGAGCAGCTAAGTGGTTCTTTTCTCCAATGGATCCACTGGTGGGTTTGAACCATTGATCTTTTGTTTCACTGTGCTACCAGGACTCCTTAACTTTTCCCCTCAGGAGTCAAAAAGGTTCCCAAGAAGAAAGAACTTCCAAATTCGAACACCCTGTTCATGGCTCTGTTCTGTTGGCATTCTGTTTTGTGGACTCTGCATTGATTTTGGTATAAGTTGAATAATTCATTAAAAAAATGTTATTGCCGCCTTTCATCATCAGCATTGTTATAAATTCTACCTCTATTTGTCTTTGGAAGTTGTCATGAGAATGGAGAGTGGTAGCATCAACAAGTTATTCACTGCAATATTATATATAGTACATATGAGGGAGCTTCAAAAAGTTCGTGGAAAAATGAAATTAAAATATAATGGAAATTGTCACGTTAAAATATAACAGAACTTTTTGAAGCCTCCTAGTATTACTAGTTGAGATGTAAGGAAGAAAAATGTGCCAACAAAAAAATAAACACAAGACAAGCCCAAACTCATTGCCATTCAGTCACTTTTGACTCTGAGTGACCTTATAGGGGAGGGTAGAACTGCCCATGTGGATTTCAAAGACTGTAAATCTTTACGGGAGTGGAAGGCCTCATCTCCCTTCACCAATTGTTCTATCCATTCTATTCCAGCCCCTTTTCCTTACAATAGATAAATATAGTGAGTCTCTGATTTATGATAGATGGGAGTAACTTGAATACGTCGTAAATCAGGGACTACCTCTGTATATTTGTTATCGGGGAAAAAGGGTTAGAATAGAATTAGTAAAACAAATGGTAGTCATAAAGGATCATATCATATTG